TCTCTCTATCTCTCTCTACCTATCTATCTATCTCCCCCCACCCACCCCCACCCCTGTAGCGGAGATCATGAGCTGTGTGAGATTCTCCCTCCTCTCCCCCGCCGACATCGTAGAGTTTGTGGAGCCCAACACCAGTCTCTTCACAGGCACCGTCGGTCGTGACATGTTGGTGTCTATCTACAGGTGAGGATATTTGGTCGCTTTTAAGCCCCAGTGGGCTATCCCAAAAATGCTGTTTTGAGAAAAATCGAAAGTAAAGTTTTTGCCCCTCTTTCAGTGTCTTTAAAAGACAAGGAGAGTCTTCTCTATAACCAAACAAATATAAACACCAATGAAACCAAACTTCCCCATTAGGTGGGGCAAAGCTCACTTTCGATGTAGGTCAAGATTTCTGGAAACCTCAGAAATCTGGGTTAGCCGGCTTGTCCTTAAAAACGACCATTTAGGACTTGAGGACATCGAGGACATGAAGACATGTTGGTCTCTGTATGGGCCTTTTCCAAAAATTGTAGAAATCCTTGTCCCCTGGCTTTTATCAACGTAGAAACTTAAATACACACGGAATGCGGACTTGTTACACATTGTTTTGTATGTGTATACCATTTTCCTAACTTCATGAGAAATGTGAACACGTCATACCTCACACTTTAGGAGATATGGGAGCTTTTGTAGGTAAAAGTAGAAGAAAAACGTTTGTGCCCGAGATTTTTTATAACTGAAGATAGATAGGAATACCATCTAGATCTATGTTGCTGTTACTTCTAACTTGTTTTGATAATTGGATTATACACTCAATTTATAAGAAAAATCGTTTTCAACTCAATCGCTGGGTGCAGCTGACCGCAGGGGGTGTGGCAATGTATGCCCACCAGTAAATCACTTTCCTCCCCCTTACTGGCAATGTATGTCCCAAGTGAATCATTTTCTTTTCCTTTACCGACAGCGTTTTGCCTCGCTGAAGTCAGAATAGGGGCAGAAGATATTCGGAGACGTCTTCGGCGATCACCCAGAAACTAATTGGAGACGTACTTCCGCACACAGATGTACTGGGGAGGGGGGGGGAGTTCAAACTGCGTATTATTTGCTGCAGGTCACACATTATAAACACACATTATATATTATAGCCTCTAAAACTGTCGCAAATCAATTATTTTCAAGAAAATTTCTTACCTAACTGCAAACTATCAAATTATGGGTACCCCCCCCCTCTCCCCTTCCCCGATTTTTTTTTACTTGGTCTTGAGGCACAAAGCATTTTGATTGCTCTCTCTCTCCGTCGGAGACTTCTCCGGATAGGTGCTGCACAGAATAGGACCCTCCAGGATCTTTTTTGCTTTAAATTTAAGTTATCTCTCTTCGTCGCACCCGGTCAAAACAGATTTGGGCGGGAACTACACAAGGGTGTTCTCTCAGGAGGAGTCAAAACAACCAGCCAGAGACAACTGGAGCTTAATCCCTTTCCCAAACCGTCACTTTTTCCATGTTGTTATCATAGCCATATAGTGTTTATTGTATGTGTTCAATAGTTTAGATCCCCATGAGTAAATGTTCGATCTATGCTCGGCATGAGGCAAGCTATTGTGGTTTAGACTCCATGATTCTTACAACACACTATTTCCCCTTCCGTTACTCCCAACTCTGTTACCGGAAGTGGGAATACGAGTGGTAACGCAAAAGACCACAGGTAATGGAAAGAAAAAAAAGAACGAATTTTAAGGCAGGTATGGGTAAAAAATGGCTCATGGGTCAGATATGGCTCACGGGCAGTTTTAGTCTGTCCTGCAAATCTACCCAGTAATGAATACTGAGTGAAGCTCACGGTGAGTTGATAATACAGGTTAAAGATGATAAGGTATTCTTGATTTGGTCATAGGAGGTAAAAAAAAAAGTTTCTGTTGAACAAGGGAAGTAACTTTATTTTTTCCAGAAATTAATGAACTAAGTGTGCTATATTTGCATAATGTCTATTATAAAATTTTTCTATGACATATTGTTTTTAAGTTTATACTCCTTTCATTTCTACAGTCGAGTATATGTAGTGGTACAAAGAATGTAATCTTAGATTCGAAAGACAATGCAAAGAAGCTAAACAATATTTTTATAGAAAGTGACTAGAAAATTTCAAACGGAAGGTAATCATTTAACGATCATTTATTCAAGCTAATGTAAGTGTTTTCAACTGTTCATTAACAAAATGTTTTAAATAACATACAGCCCCAGCGACTGACCTGATGAAACAATGTAACTCCACAAATTGCATGTTTCATCCATCCAGAGTTTCCAATCAACGCCGTATAGTAAGTTGGTAACGGAAAGAAAACCTTCGTTAGCACAGTACATAGATAAGGACGTACATATTCGCTTTTGTTCAGAATCAAGCTTCAATGATTTAAACCAGAGTGGCAAAGACATGCCCAATTGATCACACAAACATTTAGTAGCGATAACATGACACCTTCATTTTTTTATTTTTTTAAAAATAATAATGCTTTGCCAAATTTCTAGAATTTTCTGAAAAGTCCCATAATATTCTCCTGGTGAGGATATTGAGAACACGCTGGTGTGTAAATACAAGAGATGACCCACCTCTGAACAATAAGTTGAGTTTTGAAAAGGCTTCAAAGATACCTAGATCTATACAATGCCGCACACAATACCGCCAGCTGATGTATTCTCTTCGTTGATAGGAAAAGACACGCAGACAAAGAGACATACAGATAGAGGGAGAGAGAGATATAATCCGGAGAGAGAGAGAGAGAGAGGGAGAGAGAGAGAGAGAGAGAGAGACAGAGACAGACAGACAGACA